ATATTGCCAGTTGGTTGTAAAATAAAACTGAAAATATGAAATGGAAATAAACCATTTTCTTTTGGTTTATAGACCCAAAAATTGCATCTAGTGTGTATATAGTGGCATGCAATTCTAAAAATTCAACAGATTAGGAAAGTTATTGTAGCGTTCAATACAAACACAAAAAACCATATGGGTATATATATATTTTTAAGATTTTATTTATTTGACAGAGACACAGAGAGGGAGGGAACACAAGCAGCGGGGTGGGAGAGGGAGAAGCGGGCTTCCCGTGGAGCAGGGAGCTCAATGTGGGGCTCCATCCCAGGTGCCCCTCAAAAATTTTTCTTTAAAAATGTACCCATAACGGGGTTCCTGGGTGGCTCAGTCATTAAGCGTCTGCCTTCGGCTCAGGTCATGATCCCAGGGTCCTGGGATGGAGCCCCGCATCGGGCTCCCTGCTCATCGGGGAGCCTGCTTCTCCCTCTGCCTCTGCTGCTCCCCCTGCTTATGCTCTCTCACTCTCTCTCTGTCAAATAATAAAATCTTAAAAAAAAAAAATAAAGAAAAATTTTCTAGGCGTTTGGATCTACCTAATATTTTTCCATGTTTTTTTTTACTAAATCTCAAATGGACCAATACACAACAATAAGCAAAAAGGTAGACCATAAGGTAAAGAACAGAAAGAAGAGCTGTAAGGAGCATGGCAACAAATGATCTCAGAAATCACCAGCCTGTCCCCATTGGCCCCAAACCAAATGTCTGCTTTACTGTGTGCTTGAAACAGATGCCTTCACTTTGGAAATATAGAACAGCAAAATAAGTTTTCAAATAAAAGAAACATAGATTCTTGGGGTGCCTGGGTGGCTAAGTTGGTTAAGCATTTGACTTCAGCTCAGGTCATGATCTCAGGGTCCCTGCTCAGTGGGGAGTCTGCTTGTCCCTCTCCCTCTAGCCCTCCCACCCGCTCTCTTGTGCGCTCTCTCTCTTAAATAAAAAAATCTTAAAAAAAAAAACAGATTCTTTAGAGTCTTATCTAAATACAATGTTCATTTACTTAAATTGTTCTTTTTGTCAAATATGTGCCAGAGCCGAAAAAGCTACAAAGATAATAAAATACACCAGAAATGGTATATTGATGCCCTTTAATTAGTCTACCTTTTTTTCAGCACTTAAAAAATTTTTAAGAATCTATATGCTAATCTCACTGCATAAAGATAACTTGATTTGTAAGTTAGTAAAAAGTACTCAAAAATACAAATACACTGATATATAACCAAAATTTGTCCAGTTTCTTTCTGATAATTAGATACCTGATTTTGAATATGATAATATCAATAAACTCTAGCCAATCATTGTTCTTATCCTGTTCTGCTTCAAGTATCAGAACTCAATTTTTACGGTACAGGAGTTTGAAATGAGGCATGAAATAAAAAAACCAAAACCAATTCTGAAAGTCTATAGTAAAAGCTTTAAAATTATCACTGTATGAGAATGTTTCACTTTTAATCTTTGAGTGCCCCTTTATAAAGTAGGGATGCCAAAAGGCATGTTTGAGTTATGACAAGTAATGACTCATAGCAAAGCTTATCCTTGACATTTGCACCCAGTTATAATTATAAAGATCTGCTTAGATATTTATTATATTATTAGCCCCTTTCATCAATAAAAACAAAGGAAATGCATAACAGCCTATTTCTGAAATTCTACCCATGCAAAATATTGAGAACTACATTTTAAAGGTGAAAATAATTCCCAGAAGTGCTGACAATTACTCTACATTAAAAAAAAATTAATCTGGAGAATACATGGACATCAAATATTTGTAAAAGGTTAACTGCAATCGTGATTAGTCGTCTTCTTTCTTATCCCAAAGGATAAAGGACCCAGGCTCAAACTTGGGCTTACGGAGGTACAACATAGAAAAGCATCTTTTTTTTTAAAAGATTTTATTTATTTGTCAGAGAGGAAGAGAGAGAGCGCACACAAGCAAGGGGAGCAGGAGGCAGAGGGAGAAGCAGGCTCCCTGCTCAGCAGGGAGCCCCATGTGGGACTCAGTCCTAGGACTCCGGGATCATGACCTGAGCTGAAGGCAGACGCTTAACTGACTGAGCCACCCAGGCATCCCACAAAAGCACCATTTCTAAAAGGCTAAGGGCACTAAAAAACAAAGTATGGTGCCTGACATATAGAAGAGGCTCAATCAGTTGAATCAAAACATGAGTAAAGGTCTTGCACTTTTCATGGTAAAACACTCAAATTTAAGAAACCTAGAATTCAACATAGTCCTGAGGGTCAAGTAAGTCCTGTGTACCAAAATGACAAGATGCCAAAGAATTCTGCCAAAGCGAAAGATTTGAGTTTAATCTATGCTTGTATACTGTATACACAAAAGCCTGAAATGATTTTTAGAGCTTTGCTATCACTCGGGAAAGAATATTCCAAAACGGGGCGCCTGGGTGGCTCAGTCGGTTAAGCGTCTGCCTTCGGCTCAGGTCATGATCCCAGGGTCC